CCAACATTTCAGAATAAAAGAAAGGTAAAAGAAGAGAACACGGACTTCAGAGTCAGAGAGGCCTGGTTTCAGGTTTTCTGATGGCAGGTGAGTCATTCAGCCACTCTGGGACTCAGTTTCCTCAAGGATATTATCTCAGAGGTTTATGGAAGGACTAAATATTAACATACAGAAAATGACTGACATTAAATTTGGTGCCTAGGAGGTGCTCAACAAATGTAAGTGACTTTCACTGGTTAAAATAAAATTGGGACTTCCACTTCTGGCTATGACAGTCTAACTAGCCCTGAACTAGACCCTTTTCCCCATCCCAATTGTATGCAATAATATAACTAGATAAAATACGTGAGCTAACTACTGAACAGGTAGGTACTGAACAACAGACAACACAAGACTACAATAACTAGGAGAAGGGAAATTCATGAAGTAAGCTCCAGGTCAGCCCACCTGTGGCACAGCAAGCTAGAATCTAAGCACAGCAGGAAGGTTCCACTGAGCTAAGACTGGATCAGAGCTTGGGACAGGTAAAATAGCTAGGATCTATGGGTCAGGGCAGCAGAGGGCTGAAATGAGTGCAGGGTGGGAGGGGCAGAAAAGGACAGAAGTCTATGAGGTCACCTGTGAGTAAGTTCTTGACTGAGGTTGGGCTACACATGCACAGGGCAACACTCTCCAAGTTTACTGGACAGTGGCTGCTATGGCATTGAGAGAGTAACAGAGATACTTGAAATCTAGCAAGCAGTGCTGACGTCTTTGGAATTCTGGTCAAGACAGTCATCCAGAGAAATCACAAAGGCCATGTCTTAGAGGAAGAACAGCCTAGAGCAAGTCTTACTTGGGATGCGCTCTAAAAAGGGATGGGGGAAAGCCACTGCGACTCAGCACAAGGTACAGAGTCCATAAGTGATAAAGCAGTGCAATCATGCAGAGAGCTGGGTGGCAGAGGCAGCAAAAGAATGGCTGCATACAAGGAACGATCAAATGAGTAAATATTTTGAGGACAATGAGAATCAAGTTTCCTCCTGTCTAGAAAGAACCTTGTGATGTCAGATTAAAACTGGAGAGAGCACTACAAATGCATGGTTTTCAATATGTGGTAGATGTTAACATATATAAATATGATAGATAGATATAAAGCAGGCCAGGTGTCATGGTTCACACCTGTAATCCCAGCACTCTGGGAAGGTGAAACAGAAGGTTTGCTTGAGGTCAGGAGTTTGAGATCAGCCTGGGCAACATAGTGAAACCCTGTTATCTACAAAATTTTTTTTTTAATTCAGGGTTAGGTATACAAATGTTCATTATGCGGCTACCTTGCTGATGAGGTGTTTTACAATTTTTAAAAAAATAAAAATAACCAGGCATGGTGGCATGCATCTGACCTCCTAGGTATTCAGGAGGCTGAGGTAGCATTACTCGGGCCCAGTAGTTTAAGGCTGCAATGAGTAACAATGTGCGCCATACTGTACTCTGACTGGGTGACAGAGTGACACCCCATTTCTGAGGAAAAAATAAATATAGATAGATAGATCCACTCAGAGGGCTCAGAGTAGTAACACCTCAACAACAACAAGGACACCTACCATCTTATTTCTTTTTTTCCTTGTCTTTTTTTATTTTTATTTTTTTGAGTTGGAGTCTCACTCTCTTCCCGGGCTGGAGTACAGTGGCACGCTCACAGCCACCCCAGCGTCGACCTGCTGGGCTCCAGCGAAAATGCCGCCTCAGCCTTCCAAGCAGCCAGAACTACATGCATGTGCTACCATGCCTGGCTAAATTTTTGTTTATTGTAGAGATAAGGTCTCGCCAAGTTGCCCAGGATAGTCTCGAATCCACAGGCTCAAGCAATCCATTCGCCTCGGCCTCCCAAAGTGCTGGGATTACAGGCTGAGCCACCGAGCCTGATCATCTTACTTCTTTTTTTAAAATATTTTATTTTATTTATTTTATTTTTTTTTGAGTTGGAGTCTCACTCAATCATTCAGACTGGAGTGCAGACTGGAGTGCACCACAGCCTCGACCTGCTGGGCTCCGGAGATCCTTCCAGTCAGCCTTCCAAGTAGCTGGAACTATAGGTGTGCGCTACCATGCCCGGCTAATTTTTTGATTTATTGTAGAGATGAGGTCTCGCTGCCCAGGCGGGTCTCGAACCCACGGGCTCAGGCAATCCACTCACCTCAGCCTCCCAAAGGCGTGGGATTACAGGCTGAGCCACCGAGCCCGGCTCTCATCTTACTTCTAAACACCTTTTTTCACCAAAAGGAATCAGGCTCCTTGGCAAAATGGGTGATTCCAGAGCTGGGGCAGGGAAAAGCCCAAGATGTGCCTGGGACATCTTGTTGTGCCAGAAAGAAAGAAGTGTTCAAAGAACAATGGGGATATGAAAAAGAACAAACACAGCTTGAAGGGGCTCCTTCTGGCCAAATATATGACAACTTGAGCGTGAGAATAATAGAACCGTGTGAACAGATACTGATACAAATATATACAACAATACATTGAAAGTTTTATAAGGAAGAGGGTATTTAGTAGCCTCAAAGGACTTCCCCACAAACTACTTATTGATTACATATGGAAAAAGAGTGATTTTACAGTGAAGTCTTGCAGACATTCACTTAATCAAGCAATGAACATCACCAATTATAGAACAAATCAAAATCCTATGTCATATGATAGAGTTAAAACCCATGATTTCTGTGGTAATCCTGTCACAGATACAACTTGACTCTAAACATGAATATCAGACAAATCCAAATTTAGGGACATTTACAAAATAACTGGTCCGTAATCTTCAAAAGTGTCAAGATAATGAAAGTCACAGAAAACCTGAGGAAATGATCCAAACTGAAGATTAAAAGACAAGACATACAAATGTATAATTTGGAACTAGATCATTTTGGTACAAGGGACATTGTTGGAAAAACTGGATCTCAATTTCCTATTTAAATCATGAGGTTCAACTAGATCTATTGCTCCAAATATCCATAAAATACACAAAGGGATTTTTGCAATAACAAAAAACTAGTTTTAACAGCCTTTCAATGTATCATGATATTCTAATCATGATGATAAAGACTACCGTAGACACCCAGAGGACTTAACCAAATATCAAATTTAAATTTTGGCCGGGCAAGGTGACTCACACCTGTAATCCAGCACTTTGGGAGGCAGAGGCAAGACTATTGCCTGAGTCCAGGGGTTCAAGACCAGCCTGGGCAACTTGGTGAGACCTTGTCTTTGCAATAAATAAAAAAAATTAGCTGGATGTGGTAGCACATGCCTGTGGTTCCAATTACTTGGAAGGCTAAGGCAGAAGGATCACCTGAGCCCAGCAGGTTGAGACTGCAGGAACCATGAGCATGCCACTGCACTCCAGCCTGGGCAACAGAGTGAGACTCCTACTCAAAATAAACAAACTTCAGTTTTACAGGAGGCCGGGCTTGGTGGCTCAGCCTGTAATCCCAGCACTTTGGGAGGCTGAGGTGAGAAGATTGCCTGAGCCCAGGAGTTGGAGACCAGCCTGGGCAACTTGGTGAGACCTTGTTTCTACAATAAATCACAAAAACTAGCTGGGCATGATGGTGTGCGTCTGTAGTTCCAGGTACTTGGAAGGCTGAGGCGGAAGGATCACCTAAGCCCAGCAGGACGAGGCTGTGGTGGCCATGAATGTGCCACTGCACTCCAGTCTGGGCGACAAGAATGAGATTCCAGTTAAAAAAAAAATTTTTTTACACGAAAAGTTTGGGGGTTTTTTTGAGTCAGGGTCTCACTCTGTTGCCCAGGTAGGAGAGTGGTAGCATGATCACAGGTCACCACAGCCTCGACCTCCTGGGCTCAGGCGATTCTTCTGCCTCAGTGACCCAAGTACTAAAGGCATACGCCACCACACCTGGCTAATTTTTGTGATTTTTTTGGTAGAGATGAGATCTCACTATGTTGCCCAGGCTGGTCTCAAGCAATTCTCCTACTTCAGCCTACCAAAGTGCTGGGATACAGGCACGAGCAACTACACCAAGTGGGAAAAAGTTTTAAGGAAAAAACAAAAAAACACAAACAATAAACAATGCCTCCATCAACAGTATATGCACACAATGGAATATTATCAAGCTCCATCAGCTGATATGGAAATATACTAAACTTTTGTTAAATACAGAAAGGAAAATTTATTGGCAAGTGATGCTGTCAAAAAAAAAAAAATGACGTATTTCTATTTGTATCTATGTGTGCATGTATGAATGTATAAGACAGTCATTTATATTGACCTATATATGCAAAGAAAATTTCTACAAGGCTGCATGACAAAAAGTTAATGATTAGTTCTGAAAATAGGAATGAAAAGTCAAAAGGGGACAGAGCACTTAATTCTCCAACTTCTACCCTTGTATACTTAATTGTCACCAAGAAATTTCAAAAGAAAAGTCAATCTTCTTAGTAGCAACAAATACATACAGCACTCAGATCTTGGTTTCTAACTACCACTCACATCTAAAAGAAAAATCCTTGGAGAAATGGCCTATTCTACATATGAGTCAGAGTAAGTAATGTGAGCTGTAGACATCTTGTTGCGCCAGAAAGGAAAAAAAGCACATAAAAACTAATGAAGGCATGTGAAAAGGATGAAGAAGTTAGGCAACGGGACTCCCCACTAGCCAAATTTGGGATAATTTGAACATCAAAAAGAATCACTTTAACCAACAACAAAAAAAAAAAAATCAAGAAAAGCAAGAAAATGATTACTGCAAGAACCAACATAATAGCAGTTAATTATGGGGTAGGAAGAACAGAGAGTTTCTAGAATGCTGGTAACAATCTATTCGTTAATCTGGAAAATAATTACATGAATGTTTATTTTATAATTATTTATTAAATGGCATGTATTTGTGGTATGGACTTTTAGATACAGAGATTTCATAATTTTAAAACAAAATTCTAAGGTCTTAGGGAAAAAAGAGGTCAAGCAAAAACAGGAGCCTTTTAGAAAGAAAATTAGAATATTTTACCTGCAAGAGTATGTAGGCTCTCCTACTTTAAAAACACGACCACAAAGATGAGAAGGTTTGTTTGCTTGTTCAAGTTTTGGAAATCCAAATGCAGGATCTTCACCACAAAGGTACCATTCCATTGGTGCCAACAAAACGTGCTGTGCCAGCATGTCTTCTTTCTGTGGAAAAGGGTTGGGACCCCTGCAGTAGATTTTGGGTACATAGTGGGTTAAATGCTGGTACACTTCTCTAGGGAGGTCAGTTGCTTGCAGCCATTTCTTTAAAAAAAAGAAAAAAGGGTTTTAAACAACACAATAAACTGCTAATTTGAACAAATCTACCCTACTTTATTTTAGGCACAAAAATAATGATAAAAGAGTCTATGGAGGCCAAAGCAACTCCATCTTGGATGCTAGTCCATCATGTTGCCTTCTGGGAAGATCTCTAAGATTCTTGATTTACCTACTGTTCCTTGTACAAGAGCAGGTAGTTACCATAAATCCTGACCTTAGGTCAAACAACTTTGATGTTATTGTACTTCAATTGTCCCACACATTCCTTCTGAATCATTCCTTCCCTATGGTGTCAAAGCCCTGGCTTTGTAGGTAATAGCACAGGGATCCACAATCTTGTCTTGCTGCCAAGACAAAGACATGGCTTCTGTTCCAAAGTCCCAATTAGTTTCTTTCTTGGAAACTGGATATGTCAGTCTCTCAGCTTCCTTGGACTTTAGGGGTAGGTTTGCACAGACCTGCCCACCACAAAACAGTCTTATACTTGGTTTACAATACTTACCACTGTATATTAGAAATTTAATCTATTAAAATGTCAAGTATTTTAGAATTCTACTTTAAAGTATAAGTGAAATTAAACAAGCTCCCCCCCCCATGACTCTTGAAGCAATCTTCTACCGGCAGTACAGAAAAGCAATCACAAGAAATCATTACATAAGACACTAGTCATTGAGCTCATCTGACTTCCTTTCTGATGCTTTGCGCAAATGTTTTATTCTGATTTTGATATGGATTTTCACACCAGAAGAGCATGCAGTGAATATGCATAGCCAATACTAGTTATATTTCTGATTGACAAGTAAATTTTTATTAATGTCAGTCTACAAGAGACTTTGTTCTATCAATTATGTCTTCTTTCCTTGATCAACCTCTCTCTATAAGATCTTTTCCCTTTGCTACCCTCACTAAGGACAAAAAAGGCTACTTTTCTCCAACCCTCTAAACCTTTATGTATAACTACTTGTATTATACTTAGATATCTCATAGGTACCAACTCAATATATCCAAAATTGAACTCATGATCTCCCCCTGTACCCCTAACAAAATCTGTTATTCTCCTCATTTCCCTGTCTTGGCTCTATCTGAGTATCCATACCAGAAATCCTGAGATTCTTCCTTCTTCTTACCCAACATCTAATCCATCATCATGTCTTGTCTATTAGGCTTCCTAAATGTCTCTTAAATCCACCATTTCTCTACAGTCATTATCCCCACTACCCTAGTCCAAATTGCTTGCTACTATCACTAGAATTAGTGCAACAATGTCCTAACTGGTGTCCCCATTAGTCTTGCGCCTCTGTAATCCATTTCCAAACTTCAATACCAGAGTAATTTTGGCATAATGCCAACCTGCTCATATCATTTAGCTTCCCATTACATTTAGGATCAAGTCAAGTCCCCCCACATGGCTTACAAGGTCCTCTCTCTTGATCAAACTCTCCAATCTTCTCTTCCTGATCCATATTAATCCTCTCTGTCTGTTTTACAAAGCTATTTTCTACTCATTCTTCAGATTCCAGTTTATGTTTCACTTTCTCTCAGATGACCTCTCACAGCCCATTCCTCATTCCCATCTCTCTTCCTCAACCCCTAGATCTAAAACAGAATCTGGCCTCGTGAGCATTTAGTAAAATATGCTAAGCTAATTGTTAAGTGACCATAAATGTGTTTATACTGCTTACTGTCACATAATATTGACAACTTAAGAAAGATGCTCCATGTGGCTTCAATGACAGCAGAGATAAAGAAGCTCCAAGCCTGCAGCATGGGTCAGATATCAGTCTCTAAAAACTAAACCAAGTAAGGCCTAGAGAAGGCACCCTTCAAATCACCTCCTTTCTTTCCCCTGTCTATATTCTTCAGCCCACTTCCTTCCTACTAAAAATAACATATGGAGAGAGATTTTAAATATTCATGAGGTGGTACATATTAACTTTCTAGTCAATTTCATGTTTTCAGAGAACTTTTACTAAAAATGTAAAAAAATTCATAACTTAAGGAACTAGATGGAAATCTAAGACCAAAAACAGCGAAAGTTTTCACTTCTAAGGTGAAATGCATTTTCCAAGCATAACTAACTTTATTGTGTTTGCTTTATGCAAGAAGGAAAGAGACTTAACAACAGTATTTCTTGGGAGACAAGACTACAGGTTTTAAGATTCACTCTCTTTAGAGAATGACTTTAAATCAAAATCTTATGTACCAGAAGGGACCATGAAAAAAACGGAATTATCATATGAGGGTGGGCCCCTTTGTAGTAAAAGCTTCCCCGCTAGATAAGTGTTTTAGGAACCCCATTGGCATCAGTGTATTAGCTAGTGCTGTTATGAGAGATGGCATTCAGCTTCAGTGAATTTTTTTTGTGGAGATTTCTTTCAATGTGTTTGCTCATTTCATGATGGGTGATTTATAAGCGTACATGCTCATAGCATGCTGAATGTTCAGCAGTTTTTGATTAGCAATGGCATGACCCCATGCTCCACCCTCCCTATTCACCCCATCTCAACCCAAGACACTTTTTTTTGGTTTTCCTGATTGATGTCAAAGGGAAATGTTTTGCCTAGATGGAAACAGCAAAACAAACAAACAAACAAAACAACAGAAGCACTAAAAGGCAGCAAAATTGACTAGCTCAAAAACTGTTTTGAGCAGTGGAAATGTCTCAACAGGTGCACTGCATCAAATGAAGAGTACTTTGAAAGTGACATGTAAGAATAAATAATTTTAATAAATAAATCCTGTTTTTAGGGTCCCCCCTTATACACATATACATACTTTACGTAATTATAAAAAAGATAAGTTTAATAAACAGTAAAAATGTAAGCGTCATCAACAAGCAAACTAGAATCTTATTCTTTGAGCTAAAAGACACTTTTGTTGGCCTCATCCAAGGGTAAATGTCAAGTCTGTCACCCACTGTCTGCAAACTAAAATATGAATGAAGGCAGTCAAACAATCCTAAGCAATATACTCTTTTCTTTCTTTCTCTCTTTCTTTTTTCTTTTTTTGTAGAGACAAGGTCTTGCTTATTGCCCAGACTGGTCTCAACTTCTGGCCTCAAGCAATCCTCCCCCCATCGGCCTCCCAAAAAGCAGGTATGAGCCACTGTGCCCTGCCCAATTTATTATTTGTAAATGAAAAATTAAGCAAGAAGACCAAAATAATTCAACTCCTTGGTCCTAGAAAGTTAAGTGCGTCAGACTACTTTAACTCACTACACACGGAAAGGTTCTATTTTTTAAAGTTTTCGTTTTTCTTTCTTTTTTTAAATTGGAGTCTCACTCCGTCGCCCATGCTGGAGAGCAGTGGCATGTTCATAGCCATCCCAGTGCTGACCTGCTGGGCTCAGGCCATCCTTCCGCCTCAGCCTTCCAAGTAGCTGGAACTATACGCACGTACTACCACAGCTGGTTAATTTTTTATTTATTGTAGAGACGAGGTCTGGTCAAGTTGCCCGAGTGAGTTTCGAACCTGTGGGCTCAGGCAATCCACTTGCCTCTGCCTCCCAAAGTGCTGGAATTACAGGCTGAGCCACCGAGCCTGGTGGAGTTTTTGTTTTTCTTACATTTTATGTTCCTATTCCTCCTAAAACTTTACTTTTGCAGAATTTTAATCCAGGGAAAATAAAAGGTTCCTTTAGAAGAAGGCTTTCTGGGCCAGGTGCGATGGCTCAGCCTATAATCCCAGCACTTTGGGAGGCCAAGGTAAGAGGATTGCCTGAGGCCAGGGGTTCGAGATCAGCCTGGGCAACTTGGTGAGATCTCGTCTCTACAATAAATAACAAAAACTAGCCCAGTGAGGTGGCATGCATCTATAATTCCAGCTACTTGGAAGGCCGAGGCAGAAGGATTGCCTAAGCCCAGCAGGTCGAGGCTACGGGGGTCATGAGAATGCCACTGTTCCAGCCTGGGCAACAAGAGTGAGGCTTCAAGTCAAAAAAAAAAAAAAGAAAGAAAGAAAAAATGTAGTCCTGTAGCTCTAACAATAGTTCAAATCTGTTTACAGATTTATTTAACCAAAAATTCAGAAGCAAATAATAGCTGGATAAGAAAAAAAAGTCAGTCACCTTTTTTTTAAATAAAAAAAACAGCAACCATTTCATTCTAAATATCATTTTACTACATATTATTATAAATTATTAACAAGACTTTAAAATCTGGTTCAAGAAAAGGTAGGCACATGTTTCCTATATTTAAAAAATTTGCTACCATAATGTGAAAAATTTAAAACCACCTCACAGATTTGGGCTGTTATAGACACTTTAACCTGATTAAACTTACATACTTCATAAAGCAAGAAAAATTTGTGACTGCCTTTTCAGACTGACTTTCACACATTTCTCCAAAGAATAAAGTCTATGGCTTTTCATACTAGTTCACACTAATATATGCTAACTGTAACTTTCTTCAGTATGAAAAATTGAGATTTCTAATTTGGTTGCATTTTAATTCGTCTTTATTTCAGACACTTGTAGCTGTCACACCCATGTGTACATGGCGTTCACTATCTTATTAGAAGTCCCTCATAAAGGAAGTGAAGAAACTGTCAACTCATTCCTCTAAAGTAAACATGTTATGACAATACTTCCAGGAGCTTTCCTTTTATTGAATGCTAAATTTAAGCCTTGGGATAGACGACAAGTACAATAAACACAAAAATGAAAAAATCCCTAAAGGTCAACCTTTTATTACAGTATCTAATTATTACTCTATACTCAACTAAAATTGAATCCTTCACCTACATTTCCTTTTGCAACATGTTAAGTTAATCATAAAACAATCACCTAGCTGGGCTCGGTGGCTCAGCCTGTAATCCCGTGCCTTGGGAGGCTGAGGTGAGTG